TTATAGATCTACCACTTATAGAAAATAATTTAAACTTAATGAGTCACAGTTTCTACTTAGTACAATGAGAGAAAAATAGTTTCTGCCCTATCGTACATGATCCATGTTAAGATCAAACACAATGATATAATAAAATGTGCCCATTGGAAACATACACTGTTAGTGCTATTTTGGTTCATGTATAACCGAAATGCTAGAGAAATCTTTGAAAGTAAAATAAATAATTTCTGAGATATAAATAATAGTTACTCTATAATGTGTGGGATCTTATTGTGGTAATATAGTGGTTTATATAAATTTGTTTTATCTAAAACAAAGCCTATCAATAAACTCTGCAGGCCGGGCGCGGTGGCTCACGCCTGTAATCCTAGCTCTCTGGGAGGCTGAGGCGGGCGGATCGCTTGAGGTCGGGAGTTCGAAACCAGCCTGAGCAAGAGCGAGACCCGTCTCTACTATAAAATAGAAAGAAACTAATTGGCCAACTAATATATATAGAAAAAATTAGCCGGGCATGGTGGCTCATGCCTGTAGTCCCAGCTACTTGGGAGGCTGAGGCAGGAGGATTGCTTGAGCCCAGGAGTTTGAGGTTGCTGTGAGCTAGGCTGACGCCACGGCACTCACTCTAGCCTAGGCAACAAAGCAAGACTCTGTCTCAAAAAAAAAAAAAATAAAAAAAATAAACTCTGCATTCGGTTTGTAACAGAGGTGGACAGTATCCCTCCCATGGATGAACAAATGGCGGCGTCCCCTCCGCAGCAGCAGTCAGACTTCCCACCTCCCTGCGGGGCTGACGTCAGCAGAAGCTTCGTCCTTGCGGCTCTGTCCTTGTGCCCTGATTCTCGGGTTCGACGGCCACCTGCTCCAGGCGGTGCCTGCGTGGCAGTTGTGTTCAGGGTGCTGTGGTGTGCAGTGGGGTGCAGTGGGGTACAGTGGGGGTATAATGAGGCGCTGTGGGGTACAATGGGGTGCAGTGGTGTGCTGTAGGGTCCTGTGGGGTATAGTGGGGTGCTATGGGGTACAATGGGGTGCTGTTGGGTGCTGTGGGGTCCTATGAGTTATAGTGGGGTGCTATGGGGTACAATGGGGTGCAGTGGTGTGCTGTTGAGTGCTGTGGGGTGCTATGGGGTGCTGTGGGGTATAGTGGGAAGCTGTGGGGTGCTGTGGGGTGCAGTAGGGTATAATGAGGTATAGTGTGGTGCTATAGGATTCTATGGGGTGCTGTGGGGTGCTATGGGGTATAATGGGGTGCAGTGGGGTATAGTGGGGTGCTGTGGGGTACAGTGGGGTGCAGTCGGGTGCTGTGGGGTGCTGTGGGGTATAGTGGGAAGCTGTGGGGTGCTGTGGGGTGCAGTAGGGTACAATGAGGTATAGTGTGGTGCTATAGGATGCTATGGGGTGTTGTGGGGTGCTATGGGGTATAATGGGGTGCTATGGGAGTGCAGTGGGGTATAGTGGGGTACAGTGGGGTGCTGTGGGGTACAGTGGGATGCCCAGGGTGCTGTGGGTGCTGCCACACTGCACTCGGACTCTGAGGCTTTTCTGCAACCTTAGGCTGCACCTGCACTTCTGTTTGCTGGGAAACAAGGCCCACTAACCTTAGAGGAACCTGCTGCTGGCCCAGGGACACAAGGGTCACCATGACTGTCAACCAAGGAGCAGGGAGACCAGTTTCAAGATGATCTTCCAGAATCCTGGTGATCAGACTCAAAAAAAGTACACTCTCCAGCTTTTCAGAAATGTACAATTTCTGCCAAACCCACTCAAAGGGGAGACAAAAGTGCATCTCTCGTGTGCACTGTATGGAACGTCCTACACTTCTCACCTTGAGGATGGCATCATGGCATAAATTTACAATTGTTGATAGCGATTTTATTACTAAATGTAATTGTAAGGTAAAATAAAATGAGGATATTAAAATAGGAGATTGACAGATAAATGCCTTTCAAAGCCTTATTTTACTAAATTAAACATAAAAGGAGTTTGATAATGTTGAATGACTGTTTGATCAGCAAAGCTGTACCTTTCCTCTGATACGGAGTCTCCCTGGAGGTTCCTTGCCCCTGACCAGTCATGAAATATTTGGAGTACAATCCCCCGGAACGTCATCCTGTGACACTGGCTGCCTGGTACCTTGGAACACCTGTTCCTGGTGCTGCCTGGTGGAGACTTCTCTGAGACAGAAAGGCTTGGGGACAGTGCCCAGGAGCCAGGCCTTTGCAGTGATGACTTCCTAGGAGGAGTGTTTTCCTCTGACTTAGAAATCCAGCCAGCTTGGAGCCTCCAGAGAGCCTGCCGCCACCCAGGCCGCTGGCACTCAGGATTCACACGCCAGGCTCTCCAGAGGGAAGTGAGCTCCCACACTGCTGCTCGGAGCTCCAGGAAACCGCAGGTGGCCTCATCTTGTGACCTCTCACCATGGCTGTGGGTAGTTCATCTGATCCCTTCAAAGTTCACGGAATAGATGACTACAGAAGGCACTTACTTAACTGGGGAGCCAGATGTGGAATATAAATTCTGAAACCAGGCCACCAACAACTGGTTATTTACCCCTGCTTGTGTCCTGCTATGTCTCCCTGGGCCTTTGCCTTCCAGGACCTACTTCCTCACGTGCTCTCGAGTTAAGGTGTACCACACCCTGCATGAAGCCACCACGCCAACTCTGGTCAGGTCACAAGAAATTCCAGGGCCTATGCAGTAATTACGTAATTGTTTGTTTGATGGTACCATCATACAACTGTTCATTATGCCCACTTACTTGAATTTTTCTAGCAAAAATCTCTTTATGATTTACTATCTGGCCTTTAAAAACAATTACGTCTGAAGAGCTCAAGTTAGAATAAACAAACCCTATGCAGTCATGTTCCAAAGCTGTGTCAATAAGCCTTCTCATTACTTTTCAAAATATATCACTTTGTACTTTTTTTTTTTTTTTTTTTTTTTTTGAGACAGAGTCTAGCTTGTTGCCCAGGCTAGAGTGAGTGCCGTGGCGTCAGCCTAGCTCACAGCAAACTCCTGGGCTCAAACTCATGGGCTCAAGCAATCCTGCTGCCTTAGCCTCCCGAGTAGCTGGGACTACAGGCATGCGCCACCATGCCCGGCTAATTTTATATATATATATTAGTTGGCCAATTAATTTCTTTCTATTTATAGTAGGGATGGGGTCTCGCTCTTTTCGAACTCCTGACCTCGAGCAATCCGCCCGCCTCAGCCTCCCAGAGTGCTAGGATTACAGGCGTGAGCCACCGCGCCCGGCTCACTTTGTACTTTTAAAGGTTATTTAAAGTATGACCCTAAGTAAACTCAAATTAAAATTTCAATTCTACAAAATGGAGAGAAAAATCTAATATCTGGTTAAGACCTTTGGTCAAATGATACATATTTACATGTCTCCTATTTTAATCCACTAAACACAAAAACATTCGTAATTTCAAACACTAATGCCCACTGCTTTCCAAACAGGGTGAGAATATGCAAGATCCATGTTTTATACCATCTTTCTATAAGCCATGGAGAAGTTATAAATCATTAGTCAGTCTCCACAATTAATGATGTCACCCAAAATTACAGGCATTTAATATAGTGTCTAGATATAGTTTGCCAAATTGGTCTATTTTCTGCCACTTTCTACTTGTTTCAATACACATAGCTGTGCCTTTAATTCTTAGCATCCTGTTAGTGATACGGGGGTAGTATGTCCATGGTGGACTCACAGATTTTGCAGTGACCCCAGTGCTATGTGTCTTGATGTTCCCTTGGGCCTTCCCCACACAAAGCTCTCTAATATTAAGACAAAAAAATCTCAGGAGACTAACTTTAATTTATACAATTTATGCATACGCATGTGTGTATCTATGTGTTTGTGTATATATGCTTGTGTACATATGTAAATGTAAGCGATGAATTGTTTTCATAAGAATCTTAAGTCACTGTAACAATTTAGGATTATTTGCTAAAATTCGGGTTTCCTAGTACAAGCTATTAGGACTTCTGAAGGAAGAATGTTAATTTATGCCTGCACATGGGATTAGCAACAAGCAACTCACATCTACCTAATCCAAGAGGGCTCTATCCCCTGGCTGAAACAACTATCTTTTGCATTCAGAAATTAGCTCTCTCGAAATTCAGATTCTTAAAGAACTTTTAAGCCCAAGGAAGAAGAGTACGAGAACAATATTCCCTTTACTTTGCAACATGTTTTGGCATTTCTATGAGACACACCCTAAGCCAATAAAGACTCTATCTAGGTTCTTCAGAAAACTCTCACTTCTTCCTAGAAATAAATGATTTTTATGAAAGCACTAGTTTTGAAGTCATGTTTTTGAGCCTGATACTAACCGAAAATTAGACATAAAAACCAAATCATCTTTAACATTTTGCCACAACATCCCACCCCCTGCCTAGCATCTTCCCTGCTTATGTGTCTCCAATGCTGGACGCCTGGGATCAGAAACACGGTTCTCAAAAACAGAAGCAGATGACGGGCTGATTATCTCCTTTCAACAGTATTCCTTTTCATCCCAGTTATGCGACAGTCATAAAAGTTTGGCAATCTGCAGACAAAACCCACTTTCCCAGTGGACACACCTGTCCTTAGGCCAGTCTTCTGACTCCCCTGCAGCGGCATGTGGGCGAAAGCCCTTCCCATAGCCCACTGTGGCTAATGAGCACCTCATGGCTGCAGCATTATGATAAAGTGAGATTAAAGGCCAGGTATGCTGACTCAACTGTTTTCGTAAATTTCATTAAGCTAATCAAATATGAACACCATAAATACCTGGCAAATTGCTGTGACAACCAACCTGGATAAAAGTTTGACTGAAATGAACCCTAAAGTCTGACGGATAACCTAAAGGAGTTCTTGGAAATGAAGGTTAAAGTCACACGAACAGCCAAGTTTTGCAATCTTGGCCAGGCAGATTCCCTCGTGTGACAGCTGTCCGAGCATCAGAAACACTGACCCTGATCACGACCGGACACATTGCAAATATTTTAAAGATTACCGTTTTCTTCTTCCTCCTCCTCTTCCTCCTCCTCCTCCTCCTCTTCCTCTTCTTCGTCCTCCACATCTTCCCCGTCCTCCTCCTCGTCGTCGTCATCGTCCTCCTCCTCGATCTCCTCCTCCTCCTCTCGGTCCACCTCCTCGTCTTCCTCGTCATCCCCGGCCTCCTCGTTGTCCTCGGAGTACTCCTCCTCGTCGTCGTCGTCGTCGTCGTCCTCCTCCTTCTCGTCCATGTCCTCAGTGCCGTCGCTCTCGTAGCAGCCGTCCACCGAGGCACTGTCCGCCTTCACCGCAAATGGCTTCCGCTTGGCAGCAGGTTCCTGGGGCTGTTTATCTTGTGTTTTCCTTTTTTTTGCCAAGGGACAACCATATACACTAATGAAAAAAACAGGGAGGGAGAGAGAGGGAGGGAGGGAGAGAGAGGGAGGGAGGGGGAGAGAAGGGAGGAGGGGAGAGAGAGGGAGGGAGGGGGAGAGAAGGGAGGAGGGGAGGTGGGGGGAGGAGGGAGAAGATCGTGTTACTACCTGTGAAGGTCAGAACAGGAGAGTCTGGGTCAGGGGGTTAGAGTTCAGCAGGAACATCTCCAGCACCTTGCCAGAGGACAGGAACACACACACACTCTCACGCATTCGCCCACACCTGCTAGTAAGATGATACTACAAGGAAAAAGTTTGCATTTCTCTAGTTAGCATCAAGAGTTCGTCCAGTCTCCTAGTCCCTCGTCACTATAATTCCAAATGACATGGAGATCCTAATCAATTCACGAGATTGGTTCACGAAACACTTGCATAATAGGCATAACATGCAATTGAAAATAACAAATTCAATTAACATTCACCAAATATACACTGTGCGTGATATACATTTAAACCAAGATATATTTTATGCACACTATATGAGCATATACATACATTTATGTAACATATAGAAAGTGTCTATGTTGTGAAAGTTTTGGGTAAGTTTGGTTTTGTGTTAGTATATTCTCAGGATAAACATGTATCTTTAGAAAAAATGACCTACTCGAGTAAGACGGACCTCGAGTGCCTTTCAAGGCTGTGGTGACGGCAGCTGCCCAGGTTGAAGTCCTGCGGAACATCGTCCGTCTTGGACAGTGTCAGTCCCACCCCAGCCTTCCAGCAAACAGTTTCCTTGTTACCGGTAATTGCGGGGCTGTAGGTTTTTACACAGGAAATGAGGGGTTGAGTTCTTTAAGTTCTCAGTGACACAATCAAATCTGCTGCTGGACTGGAGGCGGCCCAGGGCTGGGGATGGGAGAGCCGCGGGCAGGTGCTGGGGACGGGATGCCAGACACGACTCCAGCCAGGTGAGACACACCAGGAGGACCAAGGGCCCTGAGTCAGCACCACCCACCCACCAACCAGAGGAGGGGCGAAGTCAGATCTGCAGTTGGCGGGTGCGGGGCCGAGCACAGCAACAAGACACCTTGGGCTTGATGCGTGAGTCTGAACTGCTCGTGGCAGGTCCTGCTGATTGAGTGCCTTTGGACAGATGTTCAACTCTGTACCTCAAAGTCATCAAATATTAAATGAGAAAAATACTCATTGCACTCATTGCTCTCATCACTGCTTTAGAGGGGAAATGAAAAGATATATAAACAGGCTAGTACGGTACCTGGCATGTACCGGGTTCTCGATGAACGACGGTGGCTGCTGTTCAATAATGACAGTGATAATAACACACTGTTACTGACATTTTTATTATCATTTAGATATTCAGTTATCCAGCAAATACATCGCCCTGTAAAGTTTTGGATGCCCTGTTTGTTTCTGCTATCAATAAATATTTCTAAGACAATTTAGACAGACTGCACTAGCAACACTTTCATGTTTCTTAGGAAACTATTTTTTTCTTACTGCTTGGGTATATTTCGCATTCAAGTAAGGGCGATCTTATTAATCTTGTGCCCTTGGGGATGCTAATATGGTGCAGTGCCAATGGCTGAGGGGCTTCGTTTCCATCTTGCTGTGTGACTGGGAGGAAGTCCCTTCATCAATATGGATGTCACATTTTTAAATCTGTAAAATGAGGGCAACTAGGTGAGTTTTAAGGCTCTATCAGCTCTGAAATACCAGGATGATTGGTCACTTGTCTTTTAAATGTTATCGTCTATTAAAAACATAAAAGGCAAAACGAGATTAATTTTTATAACCAGACAAAACTGAAGAAAAAATATTTGTTATCTGCATAGTATTTCAAATATGAAATATACAGATCTCTGAGTTTTTTTCGCCAACTTTTTCACATATTAGGGAAGCATCCAGGTCGATAGTTTTAGACGCAGCACTGAACCCCCGTCCCACACTGAGCTACTGCCTGACACTGAGCCGAGCCCCAGTTCCTCACGAGCTGGCCCTCTCTGCGCACAGACTGCTCTAGGTGTTCCCTCTGTACCTGTCCAAATAATAGCTAGCAAATGTAGCTGTATGCATGGGCCTTTCTCTAGAATCTGTTGTGGCTTTGCAGGTCAGAACGAGTATTACACTTTCCCATCTTCTCTCTCTTTTCAGGGCATCCACAGACTTTTGATACAGCTGTTCTGCACGGAAGCTACCTGTATAACGGTGGTCATGGGACAGGTGACCAGGTCCGCTTTGGCCACTTGATAAACCCAGATTGCTGGGAAATGAAGGAAAACCACAGGCTCTGGGCTCTGAGTGATGCCATCTCCCTTGCCCGGCCTCAGGAAGCTTGTTCAGAGGCATGAGGTGGGCTCGCGGTCCTCTCTCCACACCTTGCCCGGAGGCTCACTCTGCGCACAGACCTGGATATGGTGGTAGAGTCTTTGGAGCAAGGGGAAGCAGAAGCCTGGGGAGACCTCAGTGAAGGGAACTTGGCCTTTCACCCACATCTCCCACTCGCAGGGAGGGTCCAAACTCAGCTTGTCACTTGGCATTGGTGCCGTCACCTCGTTCCCCAGTCCCACTGTGGTTGAGCCCCCACCGCTGCGGGCTTCATGCCGATGGCCCAGCCTGTGCGTGGCAGGTGCTCAGTGAACACTTGGTGAACGAATAAGCCACAGTTTTCCCCTTATATTAAAAATGAAAGCACTTACCACACCCTACTATAATTTCAGCCCCAGTACTTTTTCCTTCACGAGAATGAGAAAATGGCCTGTGTTGAACTGATTCTTATGTTTCTGAGCTGTGGTGTCCAATACAGCAGTCGCTAGCCATATGCAGCTATGTGATGAAAATTAAAGAAAATCAACATTTGATTCCCCAGCAGCACTAGCCACATTTCACGTGTCCAACAGCCACATGTGGCCAGTGGCTGCGATGTTGGGCAGAGCAGACACAGAACATTTCCCTCATCACGCAGAGCTGCTGTGGGCAGGTCTGTGGGAGCCCAGCCATCCTCTGGGAAGGAACAGGTGCTCAGTCCGTGTCTGTGGGGACAGGGGTGAAGGGAAGGCACCAGATACCCAGGGAATGGGCAGAAGGAGGGACGACGGGAGGGCCTGGGCCTTGGAAGGCAGCTCCAGATTCCAAAACTGACAGGGCAGTGCAAGGCCTGCATCCCAGGAGGACCAGGGCGGTGCTGTGACGAGGGCTCAGAGACGCCCCAATTGTAGCTGAGGATCTGCACACTGGAGGCTCGGCAGTGACCCTGGATGCCAGACCAGCGTCTGCAAGGCATCGCCAGGGACTCAGTGTCTGCGCGCATGTCCTGGCCACAGCCACACCACCCACACAACATGCAGTCCTTGAACCTACCACGGGAACACACCGTGCATGTTTCCACAGTTGGAACTACAAAGGAACAGTGAAGATGATCACTTGTGAAGTCACGCTAGCTCTTAGTTCTATGTTGGCAAAAATAATCTCTTGTAATTTCCCAGATTACATCCATAAAATGATTCTTAATGCAGATACAAGGCACAAAACCCAGAAGTGATCTTTTTCTATAAAAATTATCCTTGGGCTTCATGTACTTTACTAGTGCCCAGTGACAGAGAATAAAGTCCAAGTTACTTTAATTGGAGGGAAAAGGCAAATCAATGTTGGACTAGAAATGAAAAGTCTGGGTTTTGGTGTTTTAATCTAAGTTACTTTACAGTTACAGATGGACAAACTGCACTGGATCATCTGCAGGTCCCTCCAGGCCCGGCTGCTCTATGAGTGTTACCGTGCACACCGGACACCTCAAAACGCCTTGTAGCTGCTGCAGCTTTTATGATCCTTTCATGGTTAACTTGGTTTAAGCAAGTCTTAGTCTTTTGCATCGTTATTCTAGAAAATCGGGTACTTGCGATGGATTTCCCTCATGAACGCATATATTTCAAACATCATGCATTCCACACTCCCAAGGCCAGTTTCCATGCTATTTTTAATGGTCTTTTACTTGACATTTTCATTTTATCCAATTTTAATTTGAATACGGGATGAGATCTCAGCAACTGCAAAGCAGGTTTGGTGGAGTGCACTCTGCTCCCAAACCACCCGTCCCGCTGCCACCCAGGGAGGAAGGGCCGGGGTGGGAATCCTCCTGTCTCCGCCTCTGGGTGACCCTCAGGGAGCCGAAGCCAATGCAGAGATTCACGGGTGGCCTTTGCAATCTCTTGTTACTGACGGTATTGCTCTTGTGCTGCTTGAATGGCCTCAGTTGGGTCAAGGTTAAAATAATTACATTGGAATAATATTTGAACACAATTTGAATGGTATTTCATAATTAGAAATAAAGTATTTGAAGATAATTCTGGAGTAGCGAGTTTTAATCCCAGCTCAGTTAAGACCAACACCACTCACAGCACACTTACTGTGTGCCTGTGCTTCCTAAAACCTTTGCATACATGAGCCGCTACACCCTCACAATGACCCCGTAAGGTGGATTCTGCTATACCTCCCATTGTGAGGGGAGAGAGATTTTTTGTAACTTGTCTAAGGTCACAGAGCTGAGTGACACTGGACAAGGTATTTGCGACATCCTTTTCTTCATGCTTTGGTTTTCCGATTTCTGAATGATATAAATTTTGCCCTACTTTCTTATTGGGTCATTGTAAAGCTCCACTTAAACAACAGCCTGTATTTTTCTCTAATGCCTATTATATAATAAGTATATAAGGGGCTCCTTAAATATTTGCTGGGCAAATAGATGGATTCATTTGTTTATTCATTTGGGAAGCGTATCACCGGGCAACGCAGACATAGCCTATGACCTCCTGGGACATGCGGTGGGGACAGCCACCTAGTAGAGAGGGTGGAGCTTCTGGGAATTGGCACTGGGGGCGGGAAGGAGAGTGAGAAAGAGAGTGAGCAAGACAGAGAGAGACAGACAGACAGACAGAAGGACACACAGAGAGATAGAGAGATGGAGAGAGAGAGAAAGAGAAAGACAGGGCAGAGCCCGAGAGAGGG